AAAAAAAAAAAAAAAAAAGAACGAATCTATGNTGATAATCAAAGGTCTAAGGATACAAAGCCATAGGGACTAGATAATAAAATATCTAAGTTATATAAGGATAAGAAGGGATGTTATTGTGACGTTGAAAGCGATCGGACCCTCTTCCAGGTTCCATCCCGCCCTAGGCTGCGCGGCGGTGGATAGTTAGCCCGGCGTTCCGGCGCCAGCGACGGCCCGGGGTCCCCATATGGGATAGAATGGCGCATGGAAGTCAATGCTAATAATCAATTGTTATTTATATATTCTTCTTGTTCCATGAACGATGGTTCTCGCGTAGCCAACTACGTCTACATCATCAGCCGGTCCCGTCCTTATTCCTTCATGAGAGGGCCGGCTATCTTTGCTTCTGCCGTAGGGTTAAGCCCCTTAAATATTAGCTTCCTGTTCTGCGTGGTTTCAGGCCCCTGAGGCAGACAACCAATAATTCACAACGCAGTGTTCAATCCAGCTACTTATAAACTGATCTTCAACCTTCCGTGATTGAAGTTTTCTTTTTCTCTCGTAGTGCTTAAACATACGGGATAGTAGGCCAAGGATGCCCGATGGAATCAAACCAGTAGTTTATGGAGAAGCCACATGAGTGTAGCTATAGGTTTTATCCAATTCTAGGATGCTCGTGGTGGTGTCTATTAGTCTGCCGCCTTGATATCTTCTATGCCCTTGTCAAACGCCTCGAGGATGGCGTCATATAGCATATCTGTCTTGATCGGCGTCCCAGTGAAGATATCACCATTGTGGATAGGAAATAAGACCTGCCGTAGCGTCCTGCACAGCGGTTTAACAGTCTCCAACTCAGGGGGGAACTCCCGTAGGAGATACTCAAAAGTTTTGGCTCCCATATGACCCGTCTTAGCGGTAGCAATATCGATGTAGCTCCCTGTGTACCAACGATTCAGGAGACTGCGCCCCGGCATTTCCTTCGGTCGGTTGAAACGTATCCACCCGTTATGGGCGCACTGCCAGATAAGCACGTAAAAAAAGGATTCGAGATCGTGCCGGTATGTATGGTCAACATTAAGAAGCACCTCGATGGCCATGAATTCCATTGTGCCGGTCCGGCGTCGCGCCCCGCTTCGCGTACCGATTTCTTTGGCGAGATCCAGGTCGATGAGCATGCCCGAGTGGCCGTTGGCGGTCTCTGGATTCGTAATGATGATATTGTTCTCAGAAATGTCTCGGTGTAGAATATTTCCCTGTGTGTAAAGGGACCGATGGGCCTTGATCGCATCACGGAGGGACTCTAAAAGCTCCGCAGGTGAATGATATTCATAGATCGGCCGACCAGCCGGCGAGACGACCAGGCAGCGAAATATCCGGTTATCATAGAGCTCTTCTCCATCCATGTCAAAGAGGCTGGGATGATTCCCCACTGGCTGGACCTCAAAAGTTACTTCGTTCTCCTGCTGACCGCGCAACCGTTTAGACGCCTGCGTGCTTTTATCAGGAGATTTGCGTTTTCGGCTGGTCTGCTTGTCGCTGGTGCTTGGATGAAGCCGAGTGGACGACCGTGATCGAGGGTCGTTGGAGTGAGACGGGCGGAAGGAGGAGGCTCTGCGGCTGCTGCTTTTAAAGACATGGCGCTTCTTGAAGGACAAGCCGTCTCGGAGGGTGGAAATGTCTGTGATATCACGGAAAGCGACGACCTCTGCGACCCCCCTGACCCCCCTTTCTTGCGCCAGCTTGAGAAGCTCCTTTTCGCTTGCCCGCTTGTCTGATGTCCACGAGAACTTGGCCACGCCTTGCACCTTGTCATCGACATCGGCAAGAAAGCAGGTTGTCCCCCGGCACACAATGGCGCTCTGATACGTGAGCAGCTTCGAGTTCAGCTGCACCACTGTCTCCTCGCCGCTAACTGTCTCAACAGTGATCGTGCTGGCGCCGCTGTCATCCTGTGTGATGAACGTGTCCAGCCCCAGCTCCTCGTCGGTCATCATTGCGTAGCCCAAGATCATCTGATAAAAAAGCCTCGGGTCTTCGTTCACATTAAAAGAACCCGAGCTGAAAGGACCCGAGCGATCCCATATCCACGCCTCCATCTTCGTTCCACAGACAGCAAAGGCGTGGACGAATCGACGTGTCGGCTGGGCTTTGAAGACCTCCCGCACATACCGCGCCATCTGCAGCAGCGCACCTTTGCTCCTGATCTCCGCCTCAGACTTTTTCAGCTCGCCAACCACCCGGATATCCTTCCAGTTGTGCTTCCTACCGATGTCACCCGCGCTTCGGTCCCTGAGGAGGAGGTCGATCTGGCGGTCCGCGTCCGAGCCAGTGAGATCACTCTTGCTCGCCGTGGTGAAGTAGACGCTTCGTGCATCCGACAGGAACTCGTCCTGGAATCCAAACCACCAGTCAAGGGCGTCTTTCTCTGCTGGGGGGTCAGGAAAGCTAGGCCATCTGCTGTCATCTCCGGAGCCGAGGGCACGGCGAGCTGCGCTGTTTGCCTGCGTATTCCAGTCTTTTCCTTCAAAGTATTTTTTGAAAAACCCCTCCACATTCCGGTGAGTACAGTCCTTAATCTCCTCAAAGAGCCTTTCTTCCACCAGCCGACGTGTCTGCTCTGACCCTCTCTGCGACGATGATGTAGACCTGAACGGCGTGCTATCAAATGTCGGAGGGATGCTCGGGGGAGTGGCTGGAGAGATGGTGGTGATAAGGTCGAGGACCGCGTTCCAGATGTCAGAATCCGATGCCTTCTGAAGAGCAAGCTGTGCTAACGAGCGGTAGTCTTCGTAGCAGAAATCCCCTTCCTGTACGCGTGTAAATAACCGTGACAGCTCCGAGGCAACGTTTTTGCTACTGGTTCGAGGCTTTAGGTTGAAAGCGGCTTTCTCACCCATCAGGGTAACAAGGAGCTTCGATACCGCTGCTTGACGGGGCTCATTAGGGCCCTCCTCGTCAGCGCCATCGTCGTAGGATGTTCGCGATGGCCGTTCGGCCTCTTGGAGCAAGCCACGAACACCGTCGAGCGAGTCAGCCAGGGGGTATTTAGCGATGACAGAGAGTTCGGCTTGCGATAGTCTTGCCATAACTGTCCGCAGCAGCAACTCAAGCTGTCCACAGAGTATCGAGCGGGTAGCTTGGAGGTCGTAAACCAGAAAGCTCAAGGCCTCGGATGTTTTTGTGATGGATGGATGTTGAACCTACCTGGATGGAGGTATGGATGGATGGAAGCGCTGTAGACGGGAGGAATTACTTAATCCCGAGATGGTCCTTAGGTCCCTCCCCCGCCGCATTGGGTGGAAGGTCTGTAGTTAGGTAGTTAGCGGAAGATGAGTAGGAAGGAAGTATCGTGGAGAGTTAAATCAACAATGTATATACGGCGAAAGATAAGAGAGTAGATGACGAGGAATAAAGGTGCTTTTGATTTGACCCTGGTGTGAGTGAGACTCCCGGATTATATAGCTCTAAGCATCTATCAGGAAGGATGGATATAGTTAACTAAAGTAAGCATCAAACAAAAAAGCCAGCGATTCAGAGTCACGGCGCCCGAGGTTTCAACATAAACGGTAGAGAAAGCAGATAGGTAGAATAAGATAGAATAGATATACAGAACAAACGCTTCATGTGGAAAACAAAACAAGCATGAGAAAGAAAAGCTGAGAGCGAAACAGGTTATCACATCAATGAAACCGTCTCAAGCTCCATCAGCGAATGCAAAACTTTTTGCAGTCTCTTTGAAGATTAAGCCAAAGCACCCTTGAAAATTGCCGATAGCACTAGCATACTTATCCATATGAAGCACCAAAGGGCGAATTCGAGTTGGTGGGGGGTGGCACGTTTCAAGCTGGAACGCACGCTGTCGTTGATGTAGGCCTGTATATACCATCGTAGGCCGGCGTAGGCAGACGATATATTAGAGGCTGATGGTTGAAGAAGGGCTGAGGACATTGATCCGGCACAACATTCGTCGCGAATGGCGCTGCGGTTCTTCAGAGACTGGGAGTTGGTGATGGTAGAGAACACAAGGTCTGTGGTACGCCGAAGGTGGGCTGCTGCGTTGGTACAACAGTTGTTGTTGATGTTATGTGCTCTAGCATTTGCACCTGTTGTAGCTGACGACGATGAGGAGTTGCAATCTCCGTTGCTCCATGTGTGGAAGCATGTGTGCTTCTGTTTGTCTTCCTTCTTGTCACGAAGATGCAGATAGGACGATATCTGCGCTTGTCTTGAACCGTCTATGTTGCTGGAACCACCTATATTGGCGCTGTGGCTCTGGCTGCTCGTGGCAAACTGGCCGTGCGGGCATTGCCAAGTTCCATCAGGGAACACAAACGATGAGGCAGTGCTGATGGCACGGCGGCCCTGGTCTCGGTTGCCGAGACACATAGTAGCGGAGACACTGCTGTCGGCGCAACGGGCGTAGTAGCCATGGCCACCTGCGTCTCTGTTGCGTGCGGGCTCGCAGCCGCCAGTAGTACGAGAGCGGACGTTGATGTTGCTGTCCAACACTGCCTGCGGCGTGATTGACCATGCTACGTTGCCGGTGTTCGTGGGCAAAGTAGAGACACGCTCGCTCGAGGCCACTCTGTGGCGAGATACGCCCTTATCGTGTGAGTTGCCTATATCATGGCCACTGTCGCGGCATTGATCGAGTTTGCCTTGCCGTTGCAGCAAGTATGACGCGCTGCAGTCCATGCCGGCCTCGCCCTTCGCAATGCCATCTGGCCTGTTGTTTCTGATCAGGACTTCGCCGCCATGGCCAAGTCCTGACCAGTTATCCTCTCCGGACGTTGGCGAGAGGGAATCGCGGGCGCCACGGACGCCAGGAACACGCCGAAGCGGTGATGTCTTGCGGACAGAGTGACGTCCCTTGGTATGCGATAGGACGCTGATAGTGGCATCGATGCCGGTGCTGGCGCCAGCGCCAGCCTGGGGCGAGGATGAGGCAGTAGAGGTGGCGGTACAGGTAGAGACAAGTGGGATTGCCTTGTCAATGCAAGTGCATCTCTTGTGCTGCTTCTTGTGCTTTTCGCAGGCCCCTTGGTTGCGGACGGCCAGGTATCGCTGGCGCTGGGTTTCCGTCCGTGGGCGGTGCTTCCGTGGGAGAGAGGTGGCAGTGTTCATGTTGAGGTCCATGACGAGCTCAATACCTCCCGAGGGTGGAGCTGGGGGAGAAGGTTGTTGGAACTGAGGTCGAGACTGGTCCAAGGTGGGGGACTGGGATGGCACAGAAGAGCGAGTCGATTGAGATTGAGAGTGGAACTCCGTGAAACCCTCCGAGGGAGAGCTGGTGGAGAAACTGCTGGTGCCAGAAGAGCTGTGCTGGGAGGACATGGATACCTGGTTAGAGTTGAACCAGGCAGCGGAATGGCCCATAGCGGTTGTACTATCGGCGCCCGAGTTGAGGGCTGCAACAGCCTCATTGCAAGTGTCACGTAGACGCTCCAGGTAGAGAGCAATGGAGGCATCTCTCTGCTTCTGCTTGCGAGAGATTGGTCGTGGATCGGCAGCGGCTCTGGCACGGGCGAGATCCTTGAAGGCGGATGCAACTTGCTCAAAGACGAGTTCACAGTTGTCTCCAGCAGTGGACTCCGGAGTAGTTTGAGTCGAGAAAGAAGTGTTGTTGGTAGTAGGTGAGTCGAAGGTACTGAAAGAGTTGCTGAATTCGGTGCCCAAGAGTGACGAGATCTCGCTGTCGGGGAGAGCGAGGTTCGACGAGATGTTCAGCATATCCGGAGAGACTGTAAGGTCACCGTTGCTGCTGGCCTGGCTGTCAGCCGGGAGAGAGCAGTCGGCGAGCATGGAGTCAAAGGCGTTTGGAGTAGCCGTGGCCTGCGAGACAGCCGTGTCGAGGGCGTCAAAGTTGTCCCACGAGCTGGGCGCGGCCATCATCAGCGTCTCGTCCAGGACGCCGTCCATCCACGGCTCCATCACCGGCTCGTTGAACATGGGCTCGGCGTATCCATGGCCGTCGGGAGTGACCATGTCGGCCATGCGCTCGTCGGCACGGCCGTAGGGAGCAGCAAAGGTCATTGGCTCAGCCATTGCCTCTGTTTCTTGCTCACTGGGTATTATTATTATATAGTAGGGAATGAAAGTGTCGCGGTCTCCTGCTGGTTTCTGTTTGAGGTCCTGGTGCGAACTGCGCCCAACGCTTGAACTGGACAGCCCGCGGTAGACTTGCGAACCTGTAGCACTGCAGCGTCCGGACTAATGACTCAAGACGAACCCTGCAGCCGGCGAACCGAGTCGGCGTAGCTTGGGAGAAAGCTGACAGCAGCGAAGACGCGAGACGAAGAGGACAGAAGCCTGAAGATGAAGCTGGAGATGATGGAGAGAAAAGAAGAAGAAGACGAAAAGTCGAAGTTGCGAAAGTTGAAGTCGAGAAAGTCGCGGGAGACCACGTGAATTTGGCCCAAAAGGGAAGTCCGCCTTCAGGCGCAGCCCAGGCGCCGCTAAACCGCTTTGGGACTCCGACGGGCGCGGCTCGCGATGTTTTGGTACTTTTTGCGCCATACAAGTTCTGCTGGCAAGCGAAGTACCACGACATAGCGGGAGGATTAGTCAGCTCAGCCGCATGATGACGTAAGAGATAAAAATAGCCTCAGCCTCTTCAACGTCAATTTAACAACTTCAAGATGTCAACAGACAGCAACAGACAGCAACAAACATGATATCAAAAGATGATAGAGAGAGACAAAGAAGACCACAGATGTGGACAAGGTCACTGAGGCAGCAGGAGACTTCTTTGTGGTAAGATCTCCTACACCAACAGATGGACAAGACTTGTGGATACCCCTTTGATACCCTCTATGGATAGCTACGGTAGCCTACAGTGCTTCACTTAAAGTCCAGCCAGTGAACATAGAAGGTGAATAATATCCTATACTTCTCCTAGTCACAGCTATACCCTGCATATACTTTACAGTCATAGCTATATAGTCTGGCTGGTGAATCATTGTTATCTTGGACATCCCGGAGAGCGGCATGTAGTAGCTACATCTACTGAATAAAGATACCCAAATCAGAGAGATATAGTGAGTGATTGCTAGGTCACTACACTAGATAGCCAAGATACCCAATTACAGTCACCGCTATGTTTGTGAACCCAGCCTGTTATGATAGTTTACAGCGGATAGCAGCAGACAGTGACTGCAACTATTAGTAATACCTCTTACCTTCACAGAGATAGTGACAGACTGCCACTCACTCACTATCAAACTTAGTGAACTAGATATCTCAGTGTGATGGAGAATAGTTAATATAGTCAATGTCCACTCCTTGCAGCGCCGAGATCCTTAGCAGCTATATAAACCCCTTCCTCCCCCCAAAATTTTCATTCTTCTTTTTTCTTTATTTCATATCACTATCCTCTTCCTCCTTCTCATTTACTTCCTGGCTACCTGTCCACCACCCCACTACCTGGTTGCAGATATCAAATATCTTCTTTAATAGCATCACTATCATGCCTTTTACTCCCCCAGCTCCTCCAGCATCGATAAATACATATCTTGAGTCCACGAGGCCCCTTACCGCGTATATTCCAGCACACGATGTAGAGCGGAAATCACCAATGCCACACTATCCCTGTTGTTACAGCAGCCCCAACATACCCGCGACCTACGTCGGTCGTTCTAACTTGGCATGGTGCCCCTCGCTGCCCCTCGCCACTGCACCACACCCATTCGCCCGCAAACCCTTCTCGATGGTAGCAGTGACGGTTTGAAAACCCGTGGTGAGAATTGCAGCCAAAGACTTGTGCTGATTTTCGATCTCTGCACGAAGGAGACGGAGATGCTGAGAGATACGGGAAGCTCTGGTATCAATGCTCTCGACGGACCGGGCGTTCAAGGCCTGCAGGAGAAGCTGAACATTAATCATATCATCACCTGTCTTCAAACCAAAGCTCGAACCATGTCAAATGGCCAGAATGCTGGACGAAGGAGTCTAGCTTACGCTTTCTGATTGCCTTTACCAACCTCTTTCTTCGAGCCACAGTTAGATACCAGGGTGATATTATATTCAACAACACGGAGTTAGGGGAGTGGACTAAACTTGTCCGGGAAACTTTCTGAATCTCCCTTTTCAGCAAGCATACACTATTACAATTTGTATGCCAGCCGGAGTAGGGTGGCGACCCGGCAACCACCAGGGTTTACCAGCTCTGGCATATTTGATGGTACCGCTAGATTTTTTTGCAGAGCTAGGCGCATAAAGACTGAGTTAACTGCATCGCTGTGGCTTTTCTTCCTATCAAGAGACAACCATCGTACGATTCATCTATATCCCGGGTCTCGATGCCAGCGATTTCGCGATGCAACCAGTGGATGACCTCGTTCAATTCCAAATTCTTATGCAGGCTGTCTCTGCTCACACTCTGGAGAGTATCGATAATGAAGCTTCTCTTAATCAAGGATACCTGCAAATAAGACAAAGATAATGCGGTTTCTCCCACAACCCTAGGTTCCCGACCGCCCCTATGCCGGCTAAATCTCGAACAGCCCCGAGCCAAAAGGTACTACACACCTGCCGCCTTGAGCAGAATGAATCACCTTTCAAGCACAGCATTAAATCCATTTGAAGCCACATTCAATTTTTTGGAGAATATTTACACGAACCATACCAGTATTCAGTTGGCCAGTGGCAGACTTGAATAAGTCGTTTTATACCTATTACCGCAACGGATTACTATGGCTTAATGGGCTATAATAAAGAGCCAGAGCCTAATAACAAGCCGCTAATAATATCTTTACATACTCATCTTTTCATATCAGCCGCTTATGGTGCATTGCGGCGTTCTGGTCACTGAGACTATATGGCTATCTCGATCTATGCAAAGTACCTCAAAAGCTCCTACTTCGCATCGGAACTAGCAAAGATATCCTTTCTGATATACTTATACGAATTAATAAAGGCGATGTGATTCTCCCACTAGATCATCCCGCTGCTATAGCTGCAACGGCCTCGTCCACAAATCCTAAATTGAACAGCCACTTTCATCAAGCCTTCAAATCTAATTGCCGAATGGATCCTTCATGCTATGTTACTGTCCGTGATGATACCACCCCAGAATATTCCAGTGGCGCCGATTATGAGACTGCATATAGTAATAGGTCACCGTTGGAGGGAAACGTCTCGCCACATCTTTCTATTCTGCCTGTGTTTGAGTCTCTTCGGCCGGAGCAGCAAGGCGGTTGACGGAATATTATCAACCAACTAACTCCGAGGTTGGATACACGAGAGATGTTCACTCACTTGATAGCTTTCATAGTCGAAATTTACATTAACTCGGACAAGCTGTTGGCATATACGTCCATAATAATGTTTCTACAGCTACAAGATACCCGTTTACATATTACAAGCTTCACCCTCGTTGTCATGGTACCGAGTTTGCCTCTTCGATGGCCGGAGAGCTCATAAAATATCAAATTCCGGCTCCAAGGCAAATATATTCGTTATCTACATATTGGATCTTACCTGGATGCGTACTATCGATATGTGTCGGAACCATTGCGGCGCATAATAGCAAGGTCAACATCAGGATCCCTACCTTTGACACTGAACTCCCATCCGTGCGGAAGCTGGGACAAGTTTCATTGGTATTTGTCCGGACTCCCTGGACGGCTTTAGGCTAGGCTTCTTCGATTGTCCTCAGGAGGCCTGGACGACATGGGAATCTTTATTGCCGACCCTGGCCTGGACAGCTCTCTCGGCAGAAAACGCAGCTTGAGCTTCGGATAATACCTCCAAGCAGGTCGCCAACCCGGTAGATGATTGCTCATCGCTTTCGAGAACTTCCATATAATTATCATACTGTATTAGTCGATAATATGGACTATACTCACACCTATAGCGGCTTTATTCATACAATACTTATCCGGGGCTACTTTATTGGATGCCCAATATGCCCTAAGCGGATAATAAAATTATGGGGCTTTATTGGCAGTATTCTCTCTTTCAGCCCAACAAACTGTCTGCCTCTGTTGATGGTTCTTAAAACTTTAATATTAGAATGGCTTCTCTGTTGACAAATTCCTCCCGTTTTGTTCAACACATTCCCCTGCGGGTTGAGAAGCAAAGATACCACATTACCTAAAGTCGCTAATAAGAATACTTTCGCTTGACTCGAAGCTATTTCTTAGCCAGTTATAAAAGAAATACCCTCATAAGCGCTTTAGAGCTGGAAGAGAATCTCATTCGGCTCAACAAATTGCCTCTGCTGGTCATAAAAGCTAAGAGATTGAATCTAACATTGCCGGCAGAGTGGCTCTCTTTCCGTTCAACACACTTCTTTGGTTGGCATACAACCTAAAACCTGGACAGTATTGCTACTCATGGCTCTCTTTCGGTTAAATCCATTGCCTTATGGAACACTATAGCATACTTATGCAATAAAGTGGACATTATTCTTTCTTTTTGCTCAACACATTGCATTGGGGAATATTATAGCACAACAATTTATGCGATACACAGTTGACAAAATTCCTCTCCTTTTGCCCAACACATGTCCTTGGGAATACTCTATGATGTTGACGAACAGCCTCTTTCAATCCGATGCATTGCCTTGGGGAATACTTTAGCACATATGATTCATGGTTTCCTCTCTTTCAGTTCAAATCATTGTCTTAAGAATGCGATAGCCGCAGTGATACCGTAGTCCACCCCAACAAGTGGTCATGTATGTAAAGAGGCAGCAATCCCTCCTATACAAGAGAGACACTCAAGCTAGATGGTTCTCGGCCTGGTTTCCTGAGAGCTTTGCCTCAAGGCGCTCGTTTGGGTGAAAGCAGCATGCGCGAATATATCCGTGCCCTTCGAAAAACATTTCGGCATAATGCCTTGAATCCTGACCAATACCTGTCACCAGAGTTTAATGAAGTGTTCCCTCAGAGAGCTATACCTTTAACTTTTTTTTTTTTTTCTCCCCAAAATTTACGAGCGACAGTTAACTAGCACCCCTTTCGCTATAAAAAAAGAAATGCTTCATTACCGGCTTGGGGTTGTACTTATCTCAAGGCTGCCGCCTGTGAGGATAGGTCTAGAGATATTGCAGGCCAAATTCCCCTCAAGCTATCCCTCATCCTGGACGACTACACTGAAGCACACTTACTAGACCGGAGACAGTACACCGCTTTTAGAGCTAGCGGCTTAGACCCGGTCAATGAGGACTTCCTTACTGGCCCCGAAGATACTTCATCTTGCCCCTGGGAAGACCTAAATTGGACGCCATGTGAGGACGAGGAAGACCTACAGCCACTATATCCTCGTCATATGTCAGTGTTACTGTTCTTCTCCTTCTCGGCCACGCCTAAGCGCGTGGGCTCTCAACCTGTACTCACAAGCACCCACGAACTCAGTCAAAGAGTTCTTGCTGTTCCTGTTCACAAGAGCACTCCTGAGGTTGGGAGGTGGAAAGTCTGAGATTTTCTCATAGGAGTATCTTCTAGGTTAGACCCCTCTACCTTACTACTTAGATAATCAGCTATTAGTTAACTATTTCTATTGGTTGAAAATATCTATTGCAAATTTTTGCTAGTACTCTTAGCCAATCAATATCACTCTCTCTTGTACTTCGCAATTTTCTGGTGCTGATTGGTTGTCTGGACGGGCCAGTCAGCTATCTCTTATAAAATTTATGATTGGTTAAATTTAGTTACCTATGTAGGTTATCGGAATGGATTAATGCCCGGGCCCGGGCTTTTACAGATCACGTGGCCGAACACTATCGATCTCGCATATAGTTAATCCACCAATACTCAACACCTAATGATTTACACGCACAGCTCGGAGCGATTTGGAAGCAAAAGTGTCACTCTTATATACCTAAGCTAGCTACATGGACATTTACTATAAAAAATATCCTTGACCCAGGATGTGTTTCATACATTTCCTCAATTTCCTCCAGCAATCATATTAACAACCCCCCCTCCTCGACTGACAGTTGGACCTCACTTATCACCAGGACCGGCTTCCAGTCGTATTACCTCGCTAGGTAAGATGGCAACAATTGACGTGATATTTGGTAGCTGTCTTATTCATTAACAATGGGAACGGTCAACTAACATGGTGAAATAGGGAAACTGAGATTAACTGACCCCGTATTGATTAATTTCACTGTCTTAATTATGATAAATGCTCCACTGAGTATTTTGCCAGCCGGTTGTCACTATCTGGCAAGGCATCTCACCTGAGGCACCGACTTTATCAAACCACTTGAACTTCTGGATGGACGTGTTGATAACGTCGATGATATCCTGATTCCCAACCTTGATAGCATGCCAGCCGGGGCCAGCATTTCTAATGCCAAGCGCGCAGGTTCCGAATTGGACAAGTTGATGCCACCCACCAACTTGAACGGTTCAGGTTCCATCGGCGGCGATGTTGGAAGCGATTTTCAAGCAGTCAGCAGCTAGAGGAGAGGCTGGTGAACTTCCGTTGGTAAAATTTGAGTCTCCACAGTCATTTGCTGGGCTGAGCGCAAAAACGATATCAGGGTCATTGGGCTTCTCATTTGGAGTCTGAGGCGCAGGTGTGGTCGTGGCAGTCGGTGCAGCTGAGGCACAGGCAATAAGGGAGACAAGGACAACAGCTGCGTTGAACTTCTTTTGAAGAGTTCCACGGTGCTTGAAAAGAGAGAAGAGTAGCTAATGAGGTCAATGTTGTTGATGCTGATAATACTATGCTTGACTTGTAGGAAACCACCCAGAGGTTTATATACTATTTCTTTCTGCTTACAATGTTAGAAATGGTTCCTTGACCGTCAGCATAACGTTGAATTCGCTTCCACCAACAGCGAAACATCCTGATTCCTTTCCCAACAACATGCATAACAAGGGATTTATCCCCATGTCAAGGGTGTAGCCAACATTAATGAGAGCTTCTAAGCGATGCACGAATGTCATTGCATCAAATCCCTTGATAAGATATTCCCGACTAGAGGTGAGAGGGCAATCGGAATGCTTCCCCCGACCTTGTGCATATCATTTCACTGACACCGATATCGAGGGATAAAATACCAACATTAAGAAGGCCAGTCGATGGCCTCCCAGTAGCGCCCTCTGATTATATACATGTTGGCGCATTAATCACCACGTCAGGTTATTGCATACCAACAACAATAAAATTACTTGAATGGCTTCCCATACACCATGCCAGCTAGTGTGTTGATAATTGCTATATCAAAATGTGGAATGCCAACATTAACTGGAGTTTCTGAATGGCTTTCCCGATACTAGTCATAGCTTTAAGTGCTCTGGTTTTCATGTAAGGATTCTAGATTGTAATAGAAACGTTTACATAGCTTTTTCGACCACTTGTGTAGCATCGCACTGAAGTAGAGTAATCAATGCTACAGTATGAATATCGGACACGGGTATATGCTGCCTTGTCTCCAGGTATGTCAAGATATATGTAAAATGTTGGCTGCAAGCTGAGACATGTGAATAGATTCTCCACCTTGAAACATATGGACTACTGAGTAGAACAGCAAGGCATCAAAAATGGGTATCCTACCCTCTATCTATGTACATGAGATGCCTTAACTCCGGGATCAAATTAGAGAAGGTTCTAATTAACGACAGTGCCCTTACTTTTTATATGGATCAGATTAACACATCTAGAACCTCCGGAGAATAGGCATTGATATTACAAATAGTTTCTCGGTGATAGAATAACTAATTACTTTAGCAGCCGTATTGGTTCATATACATAGCTTGCCATACGAAGTGAAAGAGATAGTCTGCTGCACCATGATTGGAGGTACATGTGTCAGGTTGGCTCGTGGACTGGGGCAGTATTTTGATGGTCCTGCCGAGAAAAGTTGACTAACTAGTTAGTTAGTGAACTAGTTAACGGACCATGGGCAACGAGCCAATGGGGGAAGGCTAAAAGTTAACTTAGTTGCCAAGGCTGAACCAAACTCTCGGGCCGTGCCGGATCTGCGAAAGTTAAAAGGTTAATTAATACAATAACACAGCGTCATGCAGTTCACGAAGCCTGCAGATCACCGTGCTATATGGGGTAATTCCAATCTAAGGCATTTTATCAAGAATTTATAGAAGAAGCTGCTGGAAAAACCCAATTATACAAAGTGGCCTTTAGCAGTAATTGCTCTTAGCACTGCACTGTCTGTTAGTTAACTAGTAGTTGTTGGATATTCAGCAACGAAGCAGAACACGCTTTAAAGTGGATGAATCCTTCCAAAATGAACATTCAATAGTTGAGTTGGCTTCAAGCTTTATGGATTGTATTCTCCATCAGGTGGTAAAATCCCAATGAAAATATTAACCCCCCACCAACCCCCTATTATCCGTACTCTATACCACGGCCACGAGAGTTGGAAAGTAATGGTAGGCATGGTTGGTAATGAAGCAATGACCGAAACCCAACCCGTTTTCCTCCGGGAAGGGCAGAGTACTCTGTATGCGAGAAGGGCAGGAGTGGGCCACGATCCTGGATGTTCAGTGGAGAAGAATGGATAATGACTCAAGACCATTTAATGAATGGGTCACTTAAATTTGGCCTATGGAAACATCATGCGGTTCCTGCAAACATCGACAATGGCGCCAACATGTTAGCGTTGGTGTATACTTTTCATGCTGGACCCATATGTTTCACGCATTCACAAGGATTGGGCCAGGCGTTGGCGTGATCATGGATACACAGAGCAAGTTCAGACGGTGAACAAAAATGGCGATAACTCTTCATTCGCAGAGGTCGATTTCTGCCGTCGTTGCTGCCCAGCGCTCTCATTTGATAGTTACAGTCATATAAGCGGAGCACTCCGTACATAGTTTTATCTAACTAGACAATGCGAAACCTTAACTATAATAGCTAATAATGGATATCAAGAAAATATGGGTGACGAATTTTCTTCCGCCGCCGCTCCCGGGGCTATTGCAGTCTTGGGGGGATCCCCTAGACAATGAGGGGGTTACGATATGGCCATCAGTAGTTATATAACATGGAGGGAGCTTGCTGTTGTGACTGCCTATCAAACAAGATGACACGAATACTTTGCCCGTCGAAACGTGTCCAGTCCACCTTTGTGGCCGGTATCTTACTGGTGCTTGGCTATTCCCTATACTACTGGCAGTTCATAAAATCGGTCCAAACACCGATCGGTACTGCTTCTCTCCTATGCGGATTTTGCTGGTATGAAGAATCTAATAGTGTAATATCTAGAGACAGAACCTTTATATTTTTTCGATTTCCCCCGTAACGCAAGTCATGTTCACAAAGGGCTGATACTGGCGAAAACAAGAAATGAAGACGTCCAATGGCTCCAAGAGTTCTGCGCGGAATTGTAAGAAGGAAATTGACGAAACTATTGGAATTTTTGCTTACCAACTACATGAGCTACAGTCAGGATTATACGCCTTTTATATACACTACTGAATCACTGCCAGAAAAGGGCTTCCTAGTACCGTACTCTGCGCCCGGCCGTGAAATTCAGGGTCGCGAGGCCGTCGCCTACCTAACTTTCATTGTCGATTACTACGAGAGTCTACCGGACTATGTAGTATTCATCCATGCCAACGAGAACCAATGGCACAACGACTTATTTGGCGGCAAAACTAGCAAAACCCTGAAGAACTTCCGTTATCAAGGTGCTGATTCCCAAGGTTATGTTAATCTACGCTGCTCTACCGATCCTGGCTGCCCTACCAGTGTGAATCCACGAGATCCCACCCTACAAGATACACGCCACAAGGGATGTACGATTATATCTAGCGGATATCTATATGTACCTATTTCAAGTTCCTTACGAAAGTGTTCCAGAGCATATTGGCGGAGTGTGCTGTGCGCAGTTTGTAGTAACGCGGGAACAGGTCTTGAAAAGGCCCAAAACAGACTATGAGAGGATGCTGAGCTGGGTATCTGGTACAAGAACTACCGACAGCTTTGGGGTAGGGTGGGTGATGGAGAAAGTCTGGCACGTTGTTTTCAAGATGGAGCCCATCTAGTAAGTAGAGTTCTGTTCCCTGAGCTCCCTCGGTTAGTTACTGAGTGCTTTTTTGCTCTTTTCCTCTTCCTTTTAATGGGTTGGCCAACTCTGCTTACAATATAAACAGCTGTCCATCATACGAGAAATGCCGCTGTGACAATTATGGCTGGTGCGAGACATAGAGACAGGAAATTTCGACTTTTGGATTTAACTTCTGTGATATATCTATTTATAACTAGTTTCCAAATGAAGAACTTCCAGAGAAACCCATTAAAAGGAAGAAGAGGCTCTTCGATCTCGCCTTCCGGAAGTTCAGGGGTGGATCTCTCAGAGGAAGTCACGGCTGGAGGGCGAGTCAAATGCTCCTTCCAGGGAAGCTCCGGGCATCCGTCCTGCTCCTGCTTGTCTAGCTGTTTGTTGGCTACCTCGGTTCAAGGGGGAAATATCGTGCTTTTATTCACTTCCATACTATGAAGGAATCCATTCTGGACAAAGATGGCCAGCTCCGATGATCTAATATTTTCTTCTATTCTGCGTTCTCCCTATTGTCGTTCAGAGGGACACCGTTGAATAAGTTAGCCCAGGCAGTTATCTACTTATTACCAGTTCAACAAGGATAGCGTACTGCTACTGGGCTTTTGTCTCCTCTCTTGACCTACTACTGCCGAGTAGCCCTTATATATTGTCAAATACGGCATCTTCACAAAAGAAAAGGATATTATTCTCCGAGTTTTCCAGTATATTATTCTACGAGAATGGACTAGCTTACGAGTATGTAGAGAGAAATGTTGATTAGGGCATGCTAATCGACGACAGGCATTATGAAACAGCAGAGTAAGGATCGAATGAAGGGTAAATATTAGAAATTACACAACCCACTTCAAAGGACAGGACAAAGCAAATGCTTTCCCCCATAATTACCAAGACGCCACTATACCAAGGTTTAGCTCGGTAGAGTCGGCGGCAAGCAAAGATGGGGTAGTGTGTATATATAGACGCCTGAAAATCCTGCTATACCCGAAAATTTCCATTCAAATCCCCTTCCAGTCCAAGTAATAAGCCGAAGCCAAAGATAATCTTTTACACCGGACAGATATAACTTGGATGGAAAGCCATTGTAATTGTAGCTTTATGCGGCGGCAATACTTATACCTGAGACATTGTTGGCGGCTGTCCACGGTTGGGTGACGTACGTTGGCGGTCTCCACCCCCAGAGAAGCGCTGCTTGACGCGCCAGAGGGAATATAGGGTTGACAGCAAAAAGGCAAACCACAAGAACCACAAGAAAGCAGTGGCCGCCTGTCCTTCACGGCAAGTTTTCTCCCCAGACTTCGATCCGCTACTGACTGTGTTTGTGGATGTGTAGTCCTGTTTTAATGTTAAAAGCCATTACCAAAGGGACTTGGCGCGAATTGGAGTGTTATCATTTCACATACCTTGTTGGAACAGCTATGCACATGCTGTCTGGCCGGAAGGGCAATAGCTCCACAGAAGGCAAAGATACAGCAGAGAGCATCGATAAAGAACATAAGAATGGGATGGAGCATGATTTTGTCGCTGAGCGAAGCCGGGATAAGATAGAGCAAGGACAACAAGATGAATGCTGGTACGAATAGATTATAGTTGACCACCGACGAGCTGCCATGTATGGCGTCATCAATCATGTTTCCTATCAGGGCCATAACAATGACCGCAAGGGCAAGCTATAGATATGAAGGTCAGTTTCGATTTCTTGTTGGCAACACCAGACTTGAGGTGGTATACCTGAATGAACCGAAGGGCAGCGCTGCCCCATTTCGCTACATCAGGCATCGTGAAGATTCTTTGGGCTGGCCTCCTACTTAGGGTATTCAATCTGGACCTAGTGAATATATCAGGAGATCGAGCAGAACAATTTCCAGCGTTTCAAGCGTCAAGCAAAGATTGGAGTGGTAATATTCGATCGATTATTGCTATTAATCGCCAGTTGTAAGAAGCCAGAGAGGAAAAATTTCAAATCCATTTCTTGAACAGAGAGAAAAGAAGCCGGTCACGTTAAACAGACGTCATATGGCTCCATATAGAACAGGGCTTTTGTTTGTTTTGCGGGCAGTAAAAAGTTCTTCTATAAGCAACTCCGCTCATCTAGACCACGCCTGATATCCACAGTTTCGCTTGCGGGCGAGTCGCGATGCAGATTAGTAATAAAGTTGGCCACTTCGCCTCCGGAAAATCATCTATCCATGAGTTTAAATCGACGTCATCAGAAGATCAAACTGATGTCATGTGCATGCAGGCTGTTTGCAAAAATTTATGTTCATTTGATAAAGATACAATATTGCTTGCAGGGGTTGAGAGATGCTGGGGAAGAAAGCACACGCTGATATAGAGGGTATAGATCAACTAACAACGGCCAATTGTGCAACAAGATCTGATGCAACGTCCAAGAAGGGATAAGGACTCGTTACCTCTTTTTCCTTATTGCGTATTCGTTTGCTTATTGGTCGCCATTCTGTGGTGGTGTTATTTTCATGAGCAACTTGGATGACATTTTGATAGCCATCACATTTAAAGTCGACCATGTAGTTCTTCGACTCGATCTGATATAACTGAATGTCTATGAAAACCCACACACCGTAGGAGAGGAGGGCAGGGTGGGACGAGTGGGCTGACGATATTGCGGTGCCACCTGCAGCTGCCGCTGCCGATGTTGCCGTCTTATCCTCTGGGTGTAATATACCGCCTATCAGGCTAACGCGGCGACGGAACTCTTCTAGATCGCTGCGACTAGAGTGAGCGCTGCTTGACGGACCAGGGGCGAGAACGCCTTGCTTTAATAGCCGCGCACGGATAAACCATAAATCCTTGGGGATATAATAGTCCGGTGGCAAGTCAGGGTACTTGTGTTGCAATGCCTGTGGGAGTTCAGTTGTCATCTGTGGAGTTCTGCCACTATCGGAGTCATGTACTTCTGAAAGGAGATTAGCAATTGTGCGTTGGCAGATACTCCAATCTGG